CTGCTTTTGTTTCCTCTGCAAACAACATTTACTCATTAGGTGTTCGTGATTAACTTCAGATTCTGTCTCGCATGTACAGGAAAAGTTATTTGTTTGGCATGAGCAGGTTCACATCCTTTCTAAGACGAGGCATGGTATTAATTTATTAACTGCATAGCAGAACATCCAACGTTAAGCACAGGAGAGTGGCAATCATGAAGGATTATGAAAATCATTGCATGGTAAGAAGTCTGAGCCTGAAGCTGACATTAGGAAAGACTCTGCTCTGGGAACAAAGAAAAACAGCCCGGGCTACATTACTCATCTGTACGGAAGTCCCCACCGTCCACACAAATGGAAGAGTGCAGGAACACTGGGATCTGCTGCCCTGGGCTGGCACCTAGCCGCACATTTCGTTATTTATTTTTCTGTAGTGCAAAGCTTGAACTTTGTATATAATACAACTAAACTTAGGTTGAGCGGCATAAAGCTGTTCCTCCAGGCAGTGCCGAGAGGGATGCCTGCCTGTGTTAGCCACTGATGGGCTGCACCAGCACCAGCGTTCGGAATATTAAGCATTGTGAATGTGCCACACAGACGGTCCTGCTTCCATTTTCTGCCTCAAATAAACGACTCTCTCTCCCCGCATGTGTGTGTGTCTGTGTGTATATGTGTGTGTCTGTGTCTGTCTGTATGTGTCTGTGTGTCTCTGTGTATATATGTGTCTGTCTGTGGGTGTCTGTGTGTATATGTGTGTGTGTGTCTCTGTGTGTGTTTGTGTGTATATGTGTGTGTGTGTGTCTGTGTTTGTGTGTATGTGTGTGTGTGTGTGTCTGTGTGTGTATGTGTGTGTGTGTCTGTGTGTGTCTCTGTGTGTGTTTGTGTGTATATGTGTGTGTGTGTGTCTGTGTTTGTGTGTATATGTGTGTGTGTGTGTCTGTGTGTGTATGTGTGTGTGTGTCTGTGTGTGTCTCTGTGTGTGTCTGTGTGTGTCTCTGTGTGTGTCTGTGTCTGTGTGTGTCTGTGTGTGGTTAGGTCAGAGGTCTACACTGGATGTTTTGCTCTGTTGCTCTCTACCTTATCATTTTTTTTTTTTTGAGACTGTGTCTCTCACTGAACTGGCAGCCAGCAAGCCCTGAGGAGCCTCCTAGTCGCACAGATAGCCCCAGATAAGATTACAGCCACTGTATTTGGCAATTGAATTGCTCTTAAGTGAAAAATAATTAAGTAAATAAGATCAAAGCTAACTGATGGCTGCTTTATGCTACTGTGAAGAGGCCTTCAAAGATGGAGGCTGCTGGTTGTGGTAGCGCTTGCCAAGTAGGAAAAATGTGCAGAGGCAGGAGGATCATTACAAGTTGGAGGCTTGCAAGGACTTCACCTTGGGTCAGCAAGATGGCTTGGCTGGTAAGAGTGTTTGCATGAAAACCTGAGTTCACCTCAAAGTGAAAGGAGAGAACTGTGTTTTGATACCTGTTCGCTGATCTTAACATGTGCGCGCGCACATACACACACACACACACACACACACACACACACACACACACACACACTGTAAAACCAGATTGAAGAGGAATGAGAAATAGCTACGTGTAACTTATAAATAGAATAAAAATACATGAGAGGAGAGCTATTAATAAATCTACTTCTTGTGTTTCTTCTGCTTAAAACTCAAAACAGAGTGCTCTGGTTCTGCCCACACCAAAGCAAGCCAGTGGACTGAGCATGAGAACACTGAAAGATCCAGTCAGTGTCTCTCTCCTGCTGCCTCAACGCAGTCTACAAAAAGGTTCTTTGAATGAGCAACAAACACAGAAAACCAGAAACAGCGCAGGAAGATAAACCCTCAAGAGAAGACAATCACGACACCGCCACATCCACTCCAGTTTCCTTCCAAATATTTCTTTCCCCAGAAGAACACAGTAAGTTTTCAGGGCACTCATCCTGGTTGTGGCACAAACACATCAGTGACTGATATCTTCTTTTAGAAAAACACAAGCCCCCAACAGAAATTATATAGGCGTTCAATAGCATGCCTGGTACAAAAACAAATACAAATAAAGGATGAATGAGACTGAAAGCAAGAGATGGGTGAGTGTTTTGAGAACCAGTGATCAGGTAAGTGACTCACTGAGTCAGCATTTTTACTCTACAGGACTACACTATCTTCCCAGCTATGGAGGAATTCAGGCTCCAAGTGGAGAATAATAATCAGGGGTACTGAGATTAGATTTGAAAATCCCCATTGTAAACAGAGGCACTCACCCTTGAAAAGAAAGGAAGAAAGCCAGAGATGAAAGGAGGAGAGAAAAACTAAACTGTCCCCACAGGCTAAGAAAAGAGGAGAGCTCTTAAAAGAAGCCAAAGAAAGGCACAGGGTTCCTGGCCATGTTGTGTCACAGAGAGGATTTTAAACCAATTTTGTTCCTTATTATCAACATGCAAATCCTTGGGAGGTTGCAGTACAATCCAAATCACTTTCCAATTATTTCTGTTGCATTCATTCATTTATTTCACAAATATTTACTGACAGAGGTAGTGTCTCAGGACTGTTTTTATTATTACTACTGGCTTTGGTAGAGATTGGCTTTATGGCAAAAGAAAAGTTACTAAAACACAACGACTCCACAGCAGAATAACCATATTTCAATACTGTGCCTTCCATTCTTTGAGAACACTTGTCTCCAGAGCATGTGATATGGCCATTGTGGAAAAAAAAATACAGAGATTCCACAAAGTTAGAAGTAGCAATCTCATGTCTGAGTATGTTTCCAATAAAAATAAAATCAATATACCAAAGAGACACTTGCCCTGTTTTTTTATATTGTAGCGTTATTCATAATTACCAGGATATGAGATGGACCGAAAGCTCAATCAGTGTGTGGGTGAGGAAAACATATGTATGTACATACAGCTAGTTAACCTTCCAAAGGGTATTCTATCGCTTCTGTAAACATGAATATCCTGGAAGACAAAATGCTAACTGAAAAGGGCCCTACATAAAAAGACAAACACTGATCTCCTTTTATGTGGAAGTCAAAAGAAAAAGTCAGTTTCTCTCTGAGAACAAAGGAAGTTGCCAGGGACTAAGCCTGGGAGAAACAGAAGGACCAAATCAAAGGGCATTTTGTTTTACTCAAACAGAATGAAATTTCTGAGTATCTATTGTACAAGATAGTTATTATGATTAATAATAATATGAAGACTTGGTTACTTAAAACAGATCTTAATTATGCTGACTACAAAAGACTAGAGGTATTTGAGGTGACAAGAGTAATCAGCTTGATGTCAGAATCTCACAATGTATATAGACATTGAGACCTTCCTGGTACTCTGAAAACAATCACCACCTTCTCAGTTTCACCATATGAACGTCTGGAGCACAGTGGTACAGGCTGGAGACTGCCTGTTCTCTGGAGAGCTCTTTCCCACAGCTGGCAATGACACTGTTCCACTCTCAGAAGGTTAAAACAGAACATTGGCAGCCCTCCTGGATCACTCCCAGTTTGTGATTTAGTGCAATCAAATCCCAAATGCTGTTTGCCTGAGAAATATCTTTCACCCAAAAGCATAACCTTCAAACCTGCCAACAACAGTAACCCAAGGCTGCTTCCATTACAAATTTGCTTTTTGCTTTAAAAAAAAAAGAAAAAATCCCTCTGATGTGCCCCTAGATAAGGACCTGAAGCCCTCTCTGTGGTTGGTAACAGCATTTGCTATGTAGAGGGTGCAAGGGAGGGAGGCACGGAGCTGCCCGTGGCCCACGGGGACAGAAATCTCTCTTGTGAGCAGAATCCCAACAGCTCATTCTTCAAGCTCTTCCGGGAGAGCCAGGACGATGAGTGTGCTGTCTTTTAAAAACAATCTGCTAAATGCTTTTAGATCCGGTCTCCTGATTATGGCTGACTTATATATTTTTTGGCAATGTTACTGCCCTACGGGGCCTGACTACGACAGGCAGTTAAGGTCTTCAGTTAAGATGAATTTTGTAAAGGCCTAGATAAGCAGACCAATTTCCTACAAAGTATTTTCCTCTGATCTTTATAACATTAAGGGGACCACGTCAGTGAGCTATTTTGAGCAAGGAAAGTTTTGCTTGTAGAGACCACGGGGTAAACAACTCACCCCAGATGTCGGGTCTCAAGCCAGAGCGGGCACACCTTGCAGGCAGGAAGAGGAGCTGGGTGATGACTCCGGGTGGAAAGGACAAACTAAGTGCACTGAATTTCCTGTGCCCGCAAGGACCGGCTTGTCATAGCTGTGGTCCTCACAAGGAACACAATGTACAATGTTTGGCGTGGCCCCTCAATGGCATGATAGAACATCCTCGTGGAGGAGAGCTAGCCTGTGCAGACACACAACACACTATTAAAGTAGATCTGCATTCTGGACATTTCTCAGATCTGGCAAGAACTGAAAACTCTGGCTTGTCTCGAGGTCTTGTTTGGGGCCAGAATATCTATAATTATCTCCAATGTTACTTGAAATCTTACGTCTTCTATTCAAATATTCCAAACATTATTTAGATGACAACAGACATAGGAAAGAGAACTTAACATCTTAAATGTCTATCTCTAAAAAAATTCAGACCATTGGGTTCTTTGTCAGATAGACAGGCTTTCGCTATTATTTCAGAATCAAAGAAAGTAAGAGCAACAGGCCTGAAGAAACACCAGGGCTGGCACACAATGGCACTGAGCCCTGTCCCAACACTGGCCACTCAGACGCTGAAGAAGGGAGGTTAAGTTACCCACAGATGACATGCACTCACACACACAGCTGGATGATTGGCCCTACTGTGAAACCAGGGTCTCTAAAGAGTCACAGATCTTGGATAGCAGAAGTGAGACTCACACGGGTCCCGGCTAACAAAGCACCATCCCATTTCGACACAGAGTGGTGCCCTCTGGGTGGTCAAACCCTGCCACATGCCTACTGTTGACAGAACATCGCCCGTCCTAATTCTGGATGGTAGGTAGTTAAGTCTGTTAACAGGGTAGAGCCGTCCCTAGCTCACATACCTGTGGCGGAGTCGATGGTGAAGAGTGACGGCTGGTCCTCCCGGATGAGTTCATAAGTCACCGTTCCATATATCCCAGAATCCCGGTCACTCGCATGAACATGGATGATCTCGGTCCCCAGCGGGGTCTGGCCGCTGATGCTCGTCTCGTAGGTGGATGGATTAAAGGCAGGGACATTGTCGTTCACATCCTCCACTTCCACCCGGACGAAGGCTTGGGCACTAAGACCACCCTATGAGATGAGCGAGCAATGATTACAGCTGGGCTTCTGTGGAAACTGGAATCCAGCCTAACTAACTACGCCGCCCCGCCAAAAGACTTCGAAACAACAAGGTGTGGTGCGGTGGTGGGGTATTCGGGTATGGGTGCGTGTGACAGGGAGATAAAATAACTAGCAAAGACCCTGAGATAGACTTCTGAAGCAATAGAACACATGTATTCATATTCATATGGCTTGGTTGCTCTTAAGTTATGAATTCCCAGCCTTTAGTATAGTAAGAAAATCTCATTAGGAAGTGATGTGAGGAAGTACACCTACGGAGGGGAGCTAGTCTGTGTCACCTAGGAAAACAATGCTTCATAAGCAGGTGAAAAGCACGTACAAAGCCCCTGAAGCAGGAATGCAGCGCCTTGAGCTGGTCCGTTCAGGGACAGATGGAAGGCATGGGCCTGGTGCTGCAGGATAGAGTTGGCTCAGGACACTGGGGTCGCGGGACGACAGGGCTCATCACCATTACAGAGTTCTGAGCACACAGGTGGCTTGCTTTAACTTTACGTGTTTTCTTTTTTGTTTTGTTTTGTTTTTTTCAAGACAGGATTTCTCTGTGTAGCCTTGGCTGCCCTGGACTCACTCTGTAGACCAGGCTGGCCTCAAACTCACAGAGATCCTCCTGCCTCTGCTTCTCTGAGTGCTGGGATTACAGGTATATGCACTGGGATCATCAGGTTTGGCATAGACAGTGAACTTGGTGAGGAAAGGGCCAGCAAAGCAATTTGTCCTTCAGCAATGGGGTGTAATTGCCAAGTTACAGGGGGTGATGAGAGGACTGGAATTAGCCTGTAATGTCTCGGGCCCTGTGAGACCTGGCTGGCCAACTGCCCCAAAGGAGGTACCAATTCGCAATACTAGACTTTTATTTGTTTGAGTGTGGTTCTGTTGAGTTACAGAACACAGACTAACACAGGAAGAAGAAGAAGAAGAAGA